ATTTTTTTATCTTAAATTCAGCTACTGAAAAGAGGCTTTTCTTTATTACTTCGACTGATCGCACAGCCACTGGTTGACCAAAAAGAAACCACGAGGAAAACAATGACAGTGATACTGCAAATAAAGAAACTGAAGACCACGCTTTCTAATAATTCACATTCTACCTAGCTACACTGTCACTTTCACAAAAGCCAGTTTACACAGCTCACAACACCAAAGATGTTAAAACAAATACTCCTGCACAAGATCTACAAAGTAAAATCATGAAAGGCAAGTGTACACCGCACAGTGATGCCAACTCAGCAAGGGATCTTTTCCAACAGTTGAATCACATTAATTTTGCGTAAGTACCAATAGAGAATACCATGAGTCACACCTTAATATTTAAAAAATATATAATCTTTACAAAATGTATAAACGAAAATATTGAGCCAGTAAAAAAATCAATACTATCATATTTTCTCCACCGAATTCAATCTTGGTTTTGACATTCCCAAAAAGAATAGGTGCAATCTTAGTGAGAAGTTTAAAGTTGATGAAAACACTGATACTATGTCTGAAAAATTGAGAGAAGACTTTGAAAGACGTTAAGTTTTTAAAAAAGAAATGAGAGATATACGTGCTAAAGAAAAAAAAATAAAAATGTTCCGGTTTTACTATTTGACCTTCAAAATGTTATTTTGACTCAAAATGTTATTTTGAGTAATTTCAAAAGTCAAAATGTTATTTTGACTTTTGAAGTTACTTAATTACTTGGTCTGACTCCTGCGTCGGAACAGTATATTATCATATTCTGTGTTACATTTCGAAACAGTATATTATCAAATACTGTGTTACATTTTTTAAAAGACAATTCAAACATCATCTCAATTACTATAAAATATTCCCTTCGAGGTCATTCATTCTTCCAAGAGGCGGATCATGCCCATAGCAAAATTGAAAAGGTCATGAGGAAAACTGATTTTTATAGTCCAATAGGATTGATAAGGATGTTGAAATTAGTTAACAGAAAAAATCCAAATCGTATCATTCAAATGAAACCACATGACTTCAAGGATTATCCATTAACAGCAAAGCTGTTTAATTACAATTCAGTTCCTTTTTCTAACGTTGCTGTTCTAAAATTTAATCAAACATCTCACATTTTACATTTTAAATTTAGCTATGATTGCAATGAACCTATGAATTGTGCAAATGAAAAGTTCAATGGAAAACCAAACGAAAAGAATACAGCAACAAGTATATCAACTTCCACTTTTTTTTAATGTAAAATCAAAGATTCAAAATTGTACAAAGAAACTTGCAAACTTAAAAGAAAAAAGGTGTTAAAGCTGCATTTCTGTTTATGCCTCTTGAGGACAGAGAATACTATCAAGTTTTTCTTCACCTATAAAATAAACATGAAAAACTTTTGATGATTGTGTTTAATGTAATGGTTATAAAATAAACCAAAAAAATGTAGTACAAAAAAAAAAGAGTAAACAAAATGTTGTAACCTTGTTTTGTGACTGAAACAATCTAATTTATGAAAACTAGCTATTTATTAAATTATTGTTTCAGTTACAAAATTTAAAGTAACTAACTTTCAGCCACAAAGTTTCAAAGTAACTAATATGTTTTTAACTGCAGTTAAAACCTTTGTCAATGTTTTTAACAGCAGTTAAAATTTTGTCATAGTGAGAATATGATTATTTCACTATGACAAGGTTCTAACTGCATTTTGAGGGTATTCATTTTTCTATGGAGAGTGAAACATTTTTTAATAAAAAATAAAAATACTTATAGCAAATGCTTATGTTATCAAGAGTAAAAAATACTATCGATGGATTTGTATAAATTTTGATGGTAGGAACATAACAATTTTTAACATTGATTTATTCAAAACTACTCGCGGATCAGTTAGAATCTCGTCAAACCAACGCGACGAGTTATCAGCCCTAGAACATTTAAACGCTATTCGTAATATACTAAATTGATTTAACCAATTTGATGATGCACTCTTTTAATTACTTTACAGTCACTTTTAAGTATGGAGACCAAACTGATACTAAAAACTCTAGAAGAGAGCGGATAAAAATCACATAAAATGATTTTAGTGTTTGACAATCCAATATGGTATAAAGCTTTCTTCGCACGATCCAACATTCTACTTGCATTACTTATTGCGGAAATCACTTGGTTCTTCCACTTGCAATTTTTTGAAAAAAATCACTCAAATCTTTTTTGCTTTCTGATTCAGGTAATAGTGCGTTATTCCACATTTTTGAACATTAAATCTTTAATGTTCAAAAATGTCTTCTGTCCATTTGAATGTTGCGTTTAAATCTTTCTTAAGACTTGATGAACTTTTCTCTGAGATTGCCTTGGATAGAATCTTGGTATCATTATTAAATAATTTGCATATATCGACTAACTTGTTTGGTAAAAGTTTCCTGAGCTATCTTGAATTGTTAATATTATGAACATAATGAATTTGTGTTCGGATTAGGGTCAGCATATAATATGATAAATTCATAACATAATTCATTTTTTAATTTATCGATAAAAATTGAGTGATCGATATTATGTTATTTAGTTATACTAATCAGTGTTACATTAATATTTTCAATAACCTTAGACAATATTATATTGTTTTAACAGGTGAAATAAAGGGATTAATGAAATAAGTGAAAAAAATAATAATGATTAATAGATTAAGTACCACCAAATCGATTATTATTAAATTAAGGTTTTTGCCATTTTTGACTTTTTCCTAGTTATGCTGTGCCATGCAATGGTGTGCCAACTAAAAATACAACATTGAATTAACGTAAAATGTTACACTTCTCTAATTTAAAATACAACATTGTGCTAACGTTGGATTTTTGTTGTTGGCAACTTTTCATTTGTAATAAAAATGGTATAAAAACAACGTTGGCAACCGATGTTGTACCAACGTAATTCGCAACATTGTTTTAACGTTTTACCAACGTATGTTTGGTAGCTGGGAAGCAGCACACTAACTTGGCAACATTAGAACAATAGAACAATAGTCCAATGATTCCAAGGTTATTTTGATGTTGTTCAAATGGAGTGTGCTACCTGAATAGACAGTTCCATAATAAAAGAATAGACAATTCCAAAAATAAATTTTAAATAAAAGCTCAACATCTCGTTTTATTTTGTTTACCGCAAATATTATTCCTCCCGGCATAAACATTATATACCATTTTTACGGCCTTTAAAAACAAAACACAAAGTATTACCGAATTCATGACACTTAACTGTTCGTCGTTAAAAGTAATGAGAAGAATAAAGAAGTTAATAAGTTAAAGAAGAATAAAGGAATCAAAAGAAATTGTCGAATTTTTTAGCTGACCGTCTAAATCAAATTATGGAACAGTGATAAAATACAATATCGATTCTTTTAGGTTGAAAAGTTGAGCTTAATTTTAAACACTACTTTTTTATATATTCTTCTTTTTTTTTAGTTGAAAGGAAATTTACGTCTACCCTTATATTATCGTCAACAAAAAATTTTTTTCCTTTGAGACATTTTTGGTAAGTATTTTTCGGTCCAGCCAACAAATTTGGAAAATAGTTTGTTTTAAATAAAATATGTAGAAGGTTAGTCGAACTAATAAAAAAATTTGGATTGGCCTTAAACCACCTAAGTGACAGCTGACAGTTAGAAAAAGTGAGAGTGGCCGTGAAAGAATTGTTCTATAATTAAATAAAAATAAAAATTTAAGAAAACATGTAAAAAATATTTCCATGAAAATTTAATATAGCTTCTTCTATGTTGCAACAGTCGGAGTACCTAAGCATGATTGGTTAACATGCATAGCGAATGTTGTAGTTTAATAAGAAAAGAATGATATAATCATAATTGACTAACTATGAAGAAAGCTCGTGCCATTGGTTCATAGTTTTGTAGTATCAAGTGAATTAAATAAATTATTAAAAGTTTACAAACTATTTTAAACCCAGTAAAATTACTGAAATTCAAGATTTACTAATTCGATGGTGGTTGACTTATTCTATGGTTGATAGACTACTCAGAATAAGAACGTATATTCAATTCAAAGTTTTTAGATCGAAGAAAGAGAGAATGTTTAATCAGACAAAGTTTTATGATCGAAGAACAAGAGAATGTAATTTCTATAAATTTTGCGCTGGGACAAAGAAGATATATGTAAAAAATTGAAAGAATAGGCACATGAGGATAAGCAGTTGAAAACAATGAAATATCAAACATCATCCAGTGCCATAAGCATATACTACTATAGAGTTAGTTTTAGAAAGGATAGTCCAACGAAAGATAGTCAAATAACCCCTTCCCGCTTGTACGCAATTTATGTTTTTGACACGGCCTACTTATTAAGTAGACCTTAGTTTTTGAGTAACCCTATCCCCCATATTTACATATATTTCTTTATGGAAGACCCCTAACACTATTGCATATGATTGAACAAGATTACTACGTGAAAACGTTTAAGATTTAACTTGATTACGTTATGCATGATAGCGGAAATGTGAAAATATGTATTAAGTTATTTAAACTAAAATAATAATTATAAATATATATTATTCATTAGATTCATATTTATCACTAAAACATATAGAATATGGGGCTACATGCAGTGGCGTAGCAAATTAAGGTGTGATGAGCGCCCAGGACCAAAATGATTAAAAAGGGTTTTTATTACTTTTATAACCATTATACCTTTTTTAAATAAAAAAAAACTTTTTTTGTCGATCGTCGTATTTTTTTGGCGCCCTCAATACCACTTGCGCCTCGGGCCAAGCCCCGTTGGCCACCCCCTCGTGACGCTACTGGCTGCATATGTTATGCGGTATGACTTGTAATACTTCATTTGAACTAATTAAATATATAGATTAAAGAAAAAAATTTTTAATTTAATGATAAGTCACAAGTCTCTGTTATAGGCAGATAGCTTAAAATCAATTAGCCGCTATCTCTAAATTTGTACTTTTTAATTTTAGAAAATAAACAAAGATTATTAAAAATATGTTTTATAAAAAAAATCTAAATATTATTTTGTTTATCGAAAAAATATTGCAGATAACACTTTTTAAATTTTAAAGTGATTAAATTCCAACACGTGCTGAAAACGACAAATTTAACAACTCGCATTCGTTTATTACTTCCGATTGTATGATGGTGTTATTTCTATATTCAGACGCTTCACCGACCTGAAATAATAAAAAATTGCCCTTTTTTTTATAAATTGACTCATTTTAGTCCTTATAACGACTATTTATTATCAATTTCTATTAATTAAATAAAAAAAAAATTATATTTACATTTGGTATTTTATGAACCAAGTCCCAAACTCTTACAGTTTTATCTTCCGAGGAAGTGATAACACGTTGGGTAGAAGCCTCATGAAAAAGTAAAATTAACAAAAGAAGATAAGAGGTATAAATATACAAAATTAAAAAATATAAAAATTATATATTAAAAAAAAAATAAAAAAATATAAAAAAAGTATAAATTAAAAAATAAATTAAAAAATATAAAAATTATATATAAAAAAAAAATAAAATAATATAAAAAAAGTATAAATTAAAAAATAAAATAAAAAATTGTAAAATTAAATCACAAAAAAATAATGAATTAAAAATACATGAAAATTTGAACTTGTTTGAAACATACCCTAACGCAATAAACCGCTCCATTATGACCACAAAACTTGCGTATACATAAACAGGTAACAAGGTCCCATTCTTTTACATAACTATCTCTAGAATAAATATATATTTTAACATTATTATTCACAGTGATAAAAATTGACATAAAAAATGGTTTACTGATATCATTTATACTGAGCAAGATATCTTGACGATTGACGAGGGGCTTAGAGCCCCTTAAGTAAAACCAATAAATTACATTTTTTTCTTGTGTTTTTTTTTTATTTTTACTTTCTCCAGATATTTCATATTGTCCTTTAAGTAGCAAGGAACAAAACATGAAATCAAAAAAAAATTAGGAAAATCTTTTCAAAAATATTTTAGAACAGTTTTTTACAAATTTCTTTAATTTTTATTTAAAATTTAAGAAATCAAAGACAATAAATACTTTTTTTTGATTGGTTGATTTCGAATGACAACGTTATAAGACTATATAAATACTTTTTTGATTGGTTATCATATTTCGAATGACGACTTTATAAGGCTTTATAAATACTTTTAGTTTCAAAATATTTTTTTATTTCTAAGAAACAATTGTACATTACTGGTGATGGTTCCCGTTAACTTTTGCACAACTATTGTCATTTTCTTTCTTATGGTTAACCATGCCTTCAGCAAATTTTGTACTGAATTATTAGGAGACTTTTAATAAGACTGATTAATTAGTCTATTTTACGCAAATATCATTTGCAAATACCTCAATACTTTTCGATGGGCCAGAACTGTAGACAATTTGGTAGATTGAGCTTTTTTAGTACAAATGCCAGGCCAAAACAATCAAGGTCTAGCGTTTGATCGAATAAGTAACGAAAGTCACTTTTAAAGACACTCCTGAATATAAATTTCTGATGTTAAAGATGATGACATCACAAAACATCTACTCTTTTTTTTAAAGATAAATCTTGGCGTCCATCAAAATACAACCATTTAATTTTGTCAAAACTTAGAATCATTATTCAAATTTCTGCAGAACTGAAAAACGTTGTCATTAATATTGTAGAGAATAGATATGTCTTACATACATGTAACCTTACAAGGTTGAAATGATGTCATTTTAAGATGATGGACTAGGAGAACTGATTTGTAGCCCAATTTATAAAAATTTGTAAACTAAATTTTATGAGAAAACCTTAATTCTTTTTTGACCTATATAAGCATATTTCCTGTTCAGTTAAGCCATGAAAACTTTCTCAATAAATTACCTAAAGAAGATAAACGTAAAGTATATGAAAAGAATATACTTATAGAAATAATAAAAGAAAAAAATGTTAAATTCCAACCACAATTAGAAAATTCAACTACTAACACTGGTTCCCATTTTTTAGAATTAACAAATATATAGAAGAGTTCTGCGATACAAAGAATGCATGGAGTTATTGGAAATAGTGTTGTGTGTTGTGGGATCATCTTTTTCCGGAAATACCCGGAAAAAGATAATCCCTTTACTATTTCTGTAGTACTATTTTTATTTTTTACTAGCTTTTTAATTTTTAGACCATGACAAGTATTACATTATATTACAAGAATTACATTATTTTACTATAATTTATAGTAAAATACAATTTTTACTATAAATTATAGTAAAATACGATGACAAGTATTACAGTATATTACAAGAATTACAGTATTTTACTATAATTTATAGTAAAATACTGTAATTCTTGTAATATACTGTAATACTTGTCATGGTCTAAAAATTAAAAAGCTAGTAAAAAATAAAAATAGTACTATATTACTGCGGATCAGAAAAATAAGTTACTAAAAAATAATTTTTGTATAAAAGAGAAACTCAAATATTAAACACACTGAAAATAATGGAGGTAAATAATGTTGGTACTGTTATAGCCAAACAGAATAATGTAGTGAAAAAAAGGTAACCTCCCATCCTCAGGAATGTCTTGTTTATTCAGTAGATTATTAAAAGTACATTTATTCAAAAAGTATGCTACATATTCTTGTTGCATATATATCTGGTTCACTTCTAGATTATCTCAATGTTGTGAATGCTTTTGATTTTAAATATATTTATGGATGGTTATAATCTAAACAAATATACTTAAAATATATGCAATTTATAAACTCTCTCTATATATACTTTTAGGTTTAATCCAGGGGAGAGGTTATATGATATTCCTTATTTTGTTCTTACTTGGTTAATTTCGCCTCATATGGATTAAGAGTATTTCTGTTGTTTGCTTTTATTAGGTGGTTTTCTAGTTTAGTTTCATTGTTTCAATTACTCTTTAAAAAACATATACAACTGCATACATATTATCTAGTAGCTCATTTTATTATAAAATCTATATTCTGAATGCTTTATTTTTGCTTAATGCAAACCAATAAAAATGCAGATATAATGAATGGTTGTCAGATTAAATCAAATATTAGAAAATAAAAAGGATCTCAGAAAAAAACTTGATAATAGAAATATATAATCATTATTTTTTAAACCCCAGTTTGCCTATTTATATTTTGTGTCATTTTTATGGTGGGGTTGAAAAGTTCTTATATGTTGCATCAACTGATAGCATGGTTTTCTTTTGGCTAGTCTTTGTTGTTCAGTATACAGATGCTACCACCTTTGTCAGCTTAATGATGAAATTTTTGTTATGCTTTAGCAATCTAATTGCATTCTTCATATTTAGGTTAGTTAGATAAGTGTTAAATTAGAGTGTATTTCTAGTTTCCTCTCACTAACTACCATTTGTTTTTCAATCATCTCTTTTTTAATCATCTTAAAGAAATTATTTAGATTAGGAATCGTCCATAAATTACACAACACTAAATTTTACAACAATCAGAACAAAAAAGATGAAAAATTTTCCAACACAGAGCCTTAAGTTAAATAAAAATTAAAATAGCTAATTAAGTTTAATGAAAATGGCTGCGTAAAAGAGAATATCAAAATCTCCTACTAATATTTTTTAAATAAATTTATCATTGCATACTTTATGGACAATTACTTAGCATTGTTAAATTGGGGAAGGGGGTTTTTTATGGGGAAAGGGGTGTTTTTTTATGGGGAATGGGGTTGTATGGGGAAGGGGGTTCATACTGTGTTTGATTTTTGCTTTGAGTGATCCTTGTTGGGGTGGTCTGTCATTAGCTCTGAAATGCATGCGTAGTAGCATATTTTATTACATTATACAGTAATGATTACACTTATGATGGTCTAGTGCATTTAGTCTGGTCATTTGATATGGTCATTTTTACCCACTTACAAATCAAGTGAAAGCTAAACACACTAATATCTATCACATATAGGCTAGCACATTAGGGCCAGAGGTAAAAATACAAAATGAATTTTAATTGGTTGAAGCACATAGTCAGCAATCACCAATCTGATGCGCATAGTGGAGCTACCAAACAAAAGCGTGTGTAAGTGTCCAGCATCGTCATTATGTTTCAAGAGCTGTAACCACATCCAGCATAATGTATGTTTTGTTGTTTGAAAATCAAAATGTCATTTGATAAATAAAAAAATCAATAAAAGTCAAGTTCCAATCACAATCAGAAAATTCAAATAATGAACCAATAATGGTTTCAATTTCTTGGTACAAAAAATATATAAAAGAAGAGTTTAATGTTACTAATTATATAATAACTTTAAACTCTTTTTTCAATCTATAATTATACAAATATCATGCAAGTTGCTGCAGAAAAAACGTATTTTATCTTTCTCTGAAAAAAAAAGGAAACATCTCAAGAGAATGCAAATGAAAATATTGAATTTTATTGTAATGATAAAAATAGTAAGGAAGTGAATGGGAAAAAAGATTTATAGATGTTAAGAACTGCTCAAAGATCTCACAAAAAAAATTTGAATATAGTTAGAAAATCTCACATGCAAA